TTTTTTTTTTTTTTTCTCTCAGACAGCTTTTTCGTGTTTCTTGCAGGGACTCGGTCAGGATGTTCTCATGGGGACCAAAGAAGAAGAATGGGGCAACGCGTTGAACGTGCGTGACAAATCGTCGATGGGAGTGGTGTTGAGGGATCGTTTGATGACGGATGCCGCCCTCGGTGGTCCACGGCCGATCAAGTCCGAGCACAATTACAGCCTGTTGACGTCGAGCCCTCCACCGAGCCCCGCGACACCTGGTGCCAACCCCCATACACCTAATTCCGGGTCGTCCGTCGATAGGGTTGACGCATCTCTCTCTGCTACCAGTTCCTCCATCGATCCCACTAACCTAGATCATCACAAATCGTTGGACATTCGAACCAGAATCGACGGTAAGAGTAAAGTTTTCACGTGTGAAAATCGTCATCAGTTTTCATAATTTTCACCAATTATTATTATATTTTCCATGGAACTTTCTTTTCGCATATTCGTAACGGTGTATCTTCAGAGATTCCAATGATTTTTATTAAAATATATGTATACGCGGATGCGTCGTAACAACGACTTTACGCTTTATGCTTCTGAACACGTGGATTTCTATGATTACGTGATATATTTATACTTCGAATAATGTTAACGGTTTTATCATTTGATTGAACTTAAACTTACACTGATGCTACAATTATGATAAATGTTAGTGAAAACTATATAATACGAAAATAGACACATCCACGTGTTAAGAAGCATAAAGTCGCTGTCAGCACTCACAATGTTAAGTGATGAAGAAACTTCTTTGCCATTTTTTTCAAAGAGCTACTAGGTTCTTGGGAAAGTTTTACCTTCGTGATAACTAAAACACAATGAGAAAAAAATTTTTTTTGACCTTGAATTTCAAAATATGAAAGTGTAGAATTCATCTATGATAGCCACTCTGTACATTATTAACTGGATCGTGAACTCACATTGCACGCGTAATTCCCTTGCTTGACTAGCTGTTGGGCTTGATTCAACTTTTCTACAATGGCGGATAGAACTAAGTGTGTTTATTTCGCTGATAAAAGATAGATTGCGAGATGTTGGTTTTACAGACATGGAAGCGGAGTGTTTCCCAACGATCTCGATGAACCACGCGTCGGACAGCGACGAGTTACCATCGTCGTCGTCCGCGTCGACTACCTCAACGATTATCCTGAAGGGAAGGAACAACCTAGTACCTGAAGACGTGGAGTGCATAGAGATCAAGGACGAGCCGATCAGCGCTCCTAGCAGCCCCTCCGAACCCTGTCGATCGGCCATGGCCAATGACAAGACCGCGATAACCATGGTGTTCCCTCAGAGTCTTCATTTCCCCAAGAACCACGTGTCGCAGACGAGCGACAGCGAAGAGGACGACGAGGAATATTACGAGGTACTTTCTATTTTCTTTGTTCAACACTTTTATTTAAGTATTATTACTTTAATATTTCTTTATTTACACGTTCTACGTTACCGTAACCGAAACCTAACCTAAAACTAAATCTAACCTAAACTTCGTTCTACTCTACATTCTGTTTTCTTTAGTCAATATTTTTATTTTAAATGTGCATTTTATAAAAACGTTTCCTTCATATAAATGTTTGTGCTCTTCTATAGTCTGTAATTTATTGTTCGATGCTTCTTCCATCTTTCTTCTTTCTACTCTCTTCAATCTAGAAGAAAAGAAGCTTCTTTTGATTGATAAGATGTTATTATGTTTCATCAGATTCCTTTGGACAAGTAAATTTGAAGAACGACCTAACCTAACTAAACCTAAACTAAACCTAATCTAATCTAAACCTAACCTAAACCTCATTCTACTCTACATTCTATTTTCTTTATTCAATATATTTGTATTTTAAATGTGCATTTTATAAAAATGTTTCCTTCATATAAATATTTTATAAAAACTCTGTGCTCTTCTATAGTTTGTAATTTGTTGTCCTATGCTTCTTTCATGTTTCTTCTTTCTATTCTCCTCAATATAGAAGAAAAAAGCTTCTTTTGATTAATAAGACGTTGTTATTATATCTCATGAGATTCCCTTGGACAAGTAAATTTGAAGAACAACCTAACCTAAAACTAAATCTAACTTAATCTAAACCTAACCTAAACCTCATTCTACTCTACATTCTGTTTTCTTTATTCAGTTTTCTTTGTTCATTTATATTAAATATATAAATATTTTATAAAAGCTCTGTGCTCTTCTATAGTCTGTAATTTGTTGTCCTATGCTTCTTTCATGTTTCTTCTTTCTATTCTCCTCAATATAGAAGAAAAAAGCTTCTTTTGATTAATAAGACGTTGTTATTATATCTCATGAGATTCCCTTGGACAAGTAAATTTGAAGAACAACCTAACCTAAAACTAAATCTAACTTAATCTAAACCTAACCTAAACCTCATTCTACTCTACATTCTGTTTTCTTTATTCAGTTTTCTTTGTTCATTTATATTAAATATATAAATATTTTATAAAAGCTCTGTGCTCTTCTATAGTCTGTAATTTATTGTTCTATGCTTCTTCCATCTTTCTTCTTTCTACTCTCTTCAATCTAGAAGAAAAGAAGCTTCTTTTGATCGATAAGACGTTGTTATTATATCTCATGAGATTCCCTTGGCCAAGTAAATTTGA